ACTTACTATGTGCCAGGTACCTAAAGGCATTACATGTATTAAAATGATTTAATCCCATGGCAAACTATTAGGTAGATAGTATTATGACCCTCACCTTACATATCAGAAAACAGGCACACAAAGTTTAAATAACTTTCTCAAGGTCACACAGCTAGTAAATGGCAGAACTGGAATTCAAGCCCAGATAATCTGGTCTTTAGGCCTATGCCCTGACACATGGTTTTCAGAATGCACATGAGAAACATTATCATGGAGATAATCTTCTCTAACACATTTTTCTTTTTTTCAAAGATTTTATTTATCCATTCGACAGAGAGAGAGATAGCGAGAGCAGGAACACAAGCAGGGGGAGTGGGAGAGGGAGAAGCAGGCTCCCCGCAGAGCAGGGAGCCCGATGCGGGACTCGATCCCAGGACCCCGGGATCATGACCTGAGCCGAAGGCAGACGCCTAACGACTGAGCCACCCAGGCGCCCCTCTAACACATTTTTAAGTCTATTATTTGAAAATTATCTTTTTTTAAAGATTTTATTTATTTATTTGACAGAGAGAGACACAGCGAGAGAGGGAACCCAATTATCTTGTTATTAACAGAGGGTTACATAAAATCTACCTCACAATTGATGGACTCACTAGATCTTCACAAAACTCCAACCAATACTTCAGAACCTAAGACAATATCTTAAATGACCTCAAGTATGCAACAGTTTTAACCTAATGGGTTCCAAATGGTTTGAGAATTCACTGCTTTCTTACTCAAAATTATGGAAAGTGAAAACTTTGCTCTTCCATCACTTGACTAATTTTCAGTAAAATTTTGTTGCCACAATTTTTTTCTGTATTAGCTTGAAGGTTCTCCATGGTACAACTGACTATTCTACTTTTACAATGTTTACAATCAATGAAGCAAAAGGTCTTCAAAATCCAGATGTTCCCTGAGGAAAAAGACAAAAAGTCAAACAGACTGCCTAAGCCTACAGGACTGTGGTATATATAGCCAAAGACAGAGCTTCAGTCTTTTGATGTAAAAGCTACTTACTACTCTAGTGAGGAAGGTACACTGGTTTGAAAAACTAATTAAAATTAATTAGAAGTTCCAAGTACCTCAAACATAAAATCATGCATTATATAAAAGGTACCTTCAAGGTCAATTTCATTTTCAGAACCTGACCAACTAATTCAGCCTCTTAAATGTCTCTCACAGAAGATGGTCTATGAATTAGACAATAGAGAAATGGTCTATGAATTACAATTTCTGTAGCTTTATCAATAATATTCAGAAATTCAAAAAGCATATCAGAATGCAATGTACAGAAAGATAAGTCAAATACAATTTTATAAGAAAAAAATTCAGCTTTACCTACACTATTGTTATGGTCTGAATGTTTGTGTGTCCCACCCACAACCCAGCCCCAAAATCTTACGCTGAAACCTATTCCCCCCCCATGTGGTAGTGTTCGGAGGTGGGCATCTGAGAGATGAGTAGGTCATGAGGGTGAAGCTCTCATAAATGGGATCAGTGCCCTATAAAAGAGACCCCAGGGAGATCCTTCACTCTTCTGCCACTCAAGGTTACAATGAAGAGGCAGGGGCCTCTGAGGAAGGTGGGGCCTTGATCTCGCTTGCACTTTCCAGCCTCCAGAACCGTGAGAAGTGTTTCTGTTGTTTATAAGCCACCCAGTTTGTATTTTATTCTAGCAGCCCAAACACGCTAAGACAACCCTGCTATACTCGAAAGCAACTCCCGAGAAGTAGTTTGATTCTTTAAAATCTGGTTTAGTTTACCTTTAAAATGCAAGTGTGATTCCATTTCAAAATAATCTATTTTAACAACTTCCTTTTTATAAAATGTTTAAAGACAAAGTCAAGCAATGCCATCTACAGGGAAATTTTAGAACAACAGTCCTATTTCTATAACCCACACTTTTTAAAAAATTAATACAGTAGTTATAGTCTGAGTTAAGATTGCATTTGGCATCATTTAACAAGGAAACTTTCAAGAAAAAGGTAGCTGTGTAAAAAAACCCATCATTCTGGATTAATACTGCTTAAAATACCTAAAAATAACCTAACTTCACTCCCAAGTCCACGAAACGTGATTCACAGACCCTTGGTTATGAACTCTACTGATTGAGATTCCAAATTCTGCAATCTCAAAGACCTTTAGTTATAACTGGTATACAGGGGAGACTCAAGTCATTGGAGACTAGCCTGTAACAATTTCATTGTTCCAGCTATTGGACTCCCCTTTCCTCTTGAGTAGCATCACTTTTGCCTTCTTGACCAGGTTCTCTAAATTTTCAGGTAAATAATCAATTTCTAAAGCTCAGTCCTCTTTGTTTTAAAACCTATTTCGTAGAGGATTCCACATCGGATTCAAAGCTCTTTCCCTCCCTATGCAGTATAGGCCCACTCTAATCATGGATGGCTTATTATTTCTCCTCCCTTTGCTCCCTTTCCCTTGGGAAATAGATGCTAGGTTTCCTTAACACAGCAGTTCTCAATTTAGGCTAAACACTCAAACCACCTGGAGCCTTTAACAAAAATCCCATGCCTCTTAATTGAACTGGGACCTAAACATAGCTTTTGTTTGCTTTTAATTTTCCAGGTGATTCCATGTGCAGCCTAGTTTGAGAAACGCTGCCTTACAACAGGGGCTCCCTAATCGGCTATAACTGCCCATGGGTTTCATGGTGCACAGTGGCAAGGCCCCACTCACCTAGAGGCCCAGAGGTGCATTCCTGAGCTGTATCCCCACCCGCCCCCAGCCCTGGCAGTCCCTGGAGATTGCAGGTGGCTGTATTCTGGTTGATCCTGTCCTTGGCAGCACACCTCACTCATCTACTGCACCTGCCTTTGAACTTCTCCATGTTGCTGCACAAGTCCTCTGGCCTCCAACTCCTGTGCCAACACTGGCTGGCGGGACCCATCTTTAACACCTCTGCCTGAGGTATCCCCACCTCTCCAATTTCATTCCCATGCTCTGAAATAAAAACACAGACGTGCTGATCTGCTGGGTAAATCCAACCAGGTGGAGAATATGCTGGGCACCCCTTCTTAGAAGCATCCTGAATCTTGAATTGTTCCCTCACGCCTCCCTCCTGTGGTGTCTGAGCACAGATGCACCCTGTTCTCTCCCTCATGAGAGAGCCCAAAAGACTAAATCCCATTCCCCAACACTGCACTCCTCAAAAAGAGACCCCTCCCAGGCCTCCCTGGCTGTCTGCGGAATGGTGGTTCGTGATAGGGCATGTTACTTGAACTGTCAGCCCTCAGTAAGCCCCGCAGTGCTCAATGGTCCTACCAGTGGTTCTCTGATCTTACAATGTGGAGACTTGGTACCTTTTAATCTCTACTTTGGCCTTATTCCAGAACAGGAAAAAAAAAAAATCCCATGATTTAATGTTACAAATTACTTAAATCTACAGTCAGTAACTTAGGTCAGTTCTCCAGAACAGATGGAGATGAATGTATCCAAGTGACGTATTAAGGAGGTGATAAATTAAGTAAGGGACTGGGAATAGAACAGGGAAGGGAAGGAAGCACACACAGGGGTGATTCTGGTAAAGCTGTAGAGGTTGACCTCAACCCAACTCCTCCAGAAAATTTTGGAGTATAAGGTGCACTTTATGTAAGGGAAAAGAGCTGGGCTTTTCTACAGGAATGCCAAGGGGCAATTCAGGCCGAAGACCCAGAGGTACTGAATATTAGAAGTAGAGTGAAAACAGAGGAGTGAACAGGCATCTGAGAATGAGTGGATTACTATAGCTGGTCAGACTTTTATTATTTTTTTAAGTTGCATAATGTTATGGAATAGGCTAGAAAGTAGTCATCTGTGCCAAGACTTCACTAATAATAACTGGTGCTATCTGTAACTAACGAAGAATCATATAGTTTACACTGTTTAGTAAACTGCTTAATGAAATGCTAAGGGCAGTGTGAACAACGTATTCTGAGAAAGAACAGCAAGACAAACTTTAAAGACCAAAGGAAGCCTGAAGGAAAGAATGGTTGACTTGGATCTTTAATTTCTCTAAATAGGGCTGCTTTTGCTTTTTCTGGAAAGCCCGATTTAGATGTTCATTTTCTTCAAAGCTATTTCTGAAACATTCACAAAATCACAGGATCTCTAAAACAATGTTTATTTTAATACATAAAATGTGCCACCTAGCACCAATGCCTGCAAGTACCAGAATTCTATCCAGTTAATATTACTCTTTACAACTGGTGTAACTGAAGTCCTTGATAGATCAGTCTGTGGGCAGATGATTATCATAATAACATAAAACAGAGAATACACAGAACCAAAATCACTTGGTAAATGTATATAGAACCACATTTGTAGTTATTTAAAAACATTTCTGTTTCATGTAAACAACAATGGTGATTTTAGCCATATTCCTGGAAGATATATGCGAAGAAAAGTGCAAGAGCCAAGTAAGTGCACAAGCCTGAAACTGGACTTTTAATTCTTGCTCCATTCTCAAATGAAAAAGTTTGTAAAGATACCTTTTCCCCCTCCTGATTTCTTACTTTTATTCCTACCAACTCATTGCAGTATAATTTACTATCTAACTCACATAGACATGTACAGTGGAGGAAAAGAATAAAACTTTGGCTAATGGAAGTATACAAAACAGTATTTTCAGATTTTTAAGTAAAAGAACATTTAAATATTAAAGCTATCGTAATAATAGCAATGAAGTGGAAGATACATATAAAAATCACTGCATAATTATATTAAATTATATTAAAATAAAAACCAACTTTTAGATTTATTGATCTTGAAGACAACTAAATTTTACTAGTTGCAACTTAAACAAATAGATGTAATAGATGTCTCTCTTTAGAAATTGGATCAATTTATCTCTAGTTTCCTGACAAAAACGCCAAGTCAACCATGCCACTTCACTATTTCCTGCAGACTTTAGGCAAACCTCAACACCTATTTTCATTTGAGGAGTGACTGAAACACAATTTTCTTTTAAGCAGAACTTGATGCTGAGCTACAAGTAAACTAAGTTGGATTTCAGGCCCATTGGCAGGCAGGCAGGCAGTAATCATTTTTCAAATTGCAGGCAGCCCATGGTGGTTGTCAGTTATATATCAAATCTCTATGGACATGCTGGAAAAATCTATGAACACAATCTTCCCATGCTGTATTCACATGCTCCATTCACCATTCACATCTTTAGCTTACCCAGGTTGTTAGAGGTTTGGGTAAGACGACTAAAGATTTCACGATGGAGATTTCTATAAGAAAAAAAATGAAAACTTTAAAGATTGATTTCTTATAAAAAATTAAGTATTTACTGGTACTTAATACTAAGTAATATGCCTAATAATGGCTAAATGCAATTCAAATGAACAACCATGCATAATTTCAAAAGATGACTTTTTTGCTGATACCTAAAACAAAGCAACCAAAGAAAAATCAGATACACTGGACATCATCAAAATTAAAAAGCTTTGTGCTTCCAAGACAAACTATCAAGGAAAAAGAAAAAAAAAAAAAGACAAACCACAGAATGGGAGAGAGTATTTGAAAGTCATTTATCTGGTAAGGATCTAGTATCCAGAATATATAAAGAACTGTTACAACTCAACAGTAAGAAGACAACTCAATTTAAAAACAGGAAAAGTATTTCTGTAAAGATAAACAAATGGCCAATAAATACATGAAAAGACAGTCCACATTAGTCACTCAGGAAATGAAAATAAAACCCACAATGAGATATCACTTCACACCTACTGAGATGGCTACAATAAAAAAGATGGACAATGACAAGCGTTGGTGAAGATATGAAGAAATGAGAACCCTCAGCTACTGCTGGTTGGAATGTAAAATGGTATAGCAGCTTTGGAATACAGTTTGGCAAATTCCCCAAAAAGTTAAACATGGAGGTCTCATATGACCTAGCAAATCTACTCTGGGTTTATACCCAAGAGATTTGAAAACATAAGTCACACAAAAATTCTTATATGAATATTCATAGGAGTATTATTCATTATTGCCTAAAAGTGAAAAACCACTGAAATGCCCAATGACTGATGAATGGATGGATAAGGTGTAGTATATCAAAGAAATATTAAAACTTTTTTACTTCTAAAACTATAAAAACGAGTTAAGTATTGATGATGTATACTATAACATGGATGAACCTTAAAAACACAATGCTGACTGTAAGAAGCCAGATACAGGAAGCCACATAGTGTGTGATCTCACTTCTGTGATATGTTCAGAACAGGCAACTCCACAGAGAACAGACTGGTGGCTGCCAAGGGTTAGGGAAAGGCAGGAACAGGAAGTGACTGCTAATGGGTATGGGGTTTCTTTTTGGGGTGATAAAAAAAATGTTTAAAATTAAAAAGTGATGGTTGTGCAACTCTGTGAATATATTAAAAACCACTGAATTTTACATTTTAAAAGGGTGAATTTTATCAATTTTGTAAAAAGAAGTGATTCTTGGCCAAAAAAAAAAGGGGGCTTTACATTTAGGAAACATAAAATCTTTATACCTCAAAAGAAATTCTACTTTTAAAACTACACAACAGCTTGAGCTAAAACCAGATTCCTTAAGGCATAAAACATTTTTAAAATTTATCTTTGTATCTCCAGCACTATGCCAAATGAAAGTTAGATCTGAATTACTAATCCCACCACCTCTCTTTCCTTACAGTTCTAACACCCAGCCTTGATCCCCCAAATTATGTTGTTTGCTTTTGACTAGAATTCACATAATCAGAAAACTTCATCACGAACAAATTCCATAAAAGCAAAGATAATAGAAACAAGTGGGACTTACTAAATTTAGTATCCTTAATTCATAAACTAGATCATGTCCTTGCCTTATACTAGTCACATATACAAAAGGTGATATGAAATGGATGAAATACAATTCTCCTCTACACAAGCAAATTCTAGGCATACAAAGGCAACCCACATAAAATGTAATTATTAAAACAGGTAAAGGAGCAATAAAAAAGGGGGGAACATACATAAATTCTATTTAACTGAGCGCATTTTTATTTACTGGGCCGATCTACCTTGTTATACTTTGGACTATTTAAAAAAATCTGAATGGTTGGAGAAAGTTCACGGGAGTCAGAACTGGCATTTTTAAATCTGAGAGATAACAGAAATGTACAAATAGCTAAGTTATTTGCCTGAGGTAATGCCCAATTATAAAGCTCTATTATTTACAGATGGAAAGGACCTTTATCAAAGAAGCCTGTTGTTTTTTTTTTTTGTTTAGAGGAAGAATCCAAGGCCAGGTAGATTAAGTGATCTAAACACTGAGAGTGCCTGAGTCCAGTGAGTCATCAGAACTGTTTCCCCACATCAAATCAACATCTACACCACACATTAGCCCAGAGACAGTGACCAGCTAATAGATCTCCTCAGAGGATAAAGAGCTGGGAATGTATTTACCGATTTTTTCTTTCTGATGTATAAGATATGAATATCCTCGCTTCGATATTCTTCATCATGTTTCTCCAAAGGAATTTTTTCAAAGTCAAAGTCTAGCTGGAGGAGCTATAAATTTAAAAGAGATATACTTCAAATTCAGTAATATGAAGTTTCCTCTGGTGACAGAAGTCAGAGTGACAGTTAACTCTGGAGAAGTACTGACTGGAAAAGGGCACATGCGTGCCTTCTGAGGTCCTGAAAATGTTCTATTTATGTAGGGTGGTGGTTGCTTGGGTGTATACATATGAAAAATTGAGCCGAGCACTTGATATGTGTGCATTTTACATGTGTTTTGACTCAATTTAAACTGTTTAACGATACGGAATTTTCAATTATAGTCTCAAAAGTTTATTAACATTCTTTACTTTCAAGAAAAACATGAAAATAAAAAAGAATTTTAGCACCTATCTGAGGCAGAGTCATGTATGTATTTGCATTCTTATTTAAGCGAAGTAGTCCCTTCAGTGGCTAAACTGCAGGACTGTGTAGATGTACCCTCAAGAGGAGTCACTTATAATGTGATGGATTTTTGCCCATCAAAAGGGTTTGGAGGACCACTGGGGGAAGATGGGTGAAAGATACGTGGGGCTCTATGTACTACTTTTGCAACTTCCTGTGAGTCTTTAATTATTGAAAAATAAAAAGTCAAAAAAACCCAAAAAACAAAAAACACCCCAGAAAGTAGACAGGATATCTTGGTTGAAGCTTTCATAAAAATGTAGAGAAAAGCACAGAAGTAAAAACATATCACATGTTTCTATGATGTACTTTCCAAAAGTAATACACGTCATTAATATGTTCCCAAAAGCCAGCATATTTAATAAACATGGAAAACTTTCCCAGAAAGACAAGGGTGTCACCATTACTATTTTACGTTGTTCTGTAGATATTAGATCAACTTATCAGAAAAGAAAAAAAAAAAAGATCAGAAAAGATGAAAAAGGGGGGGGGGAGAAGTTTAGTAGAATGGTGGGCAATGAAGGATACTCTCCATGGATTCATACAAGCAGAATGTGTTCCCCACTCAAAATTACCATAATATACTTGAACACATAGTCACATAAAGCCTCAGTGAAGTCACATAAAGCACTACAAAAACAGATCTACTACTTACCTCAAAATATTTTTTCTCAATTTCTGGATTTTTTCCCATTGTTCGTTGTTCGTAACAACATATAATACAAGTCTCAAATCCACTAAGATCTTTTAGAGTTTTCAACAATGGCTCCAAAGACTGTTCAAAAAGGAGTATCACTTTTACTTTATGATTTTTAAAAATTTCTATTTTTACTATAAAAGGGGGATAGGGGAAGTGGAGAGTAACTATAACTCCCCTCCAATTTATCCATCTTTAAATCAGTCAACAAAGTACATGGGGTTAAAGCTCTGTAACTAATAATTGGTAAACTCCTCTTCACTCATCAACCATTGTATTTATTTCAATTTCCAAAAGACTCAAATGACTGCATTTTGGAGTTCCCATAGGAAAACAAATGAAACTGACCTCACTCTTAAAAAATTAATTTTATTTAATCTATTTTAACTTGGGATTTTACCCACAAAAGTGGGTGTGACCCTAACTTGAGTGTAAGTTAGTTCAATGTTTATTTTAAAAAATGTGATGCCCACAATATGAAACAAACTGATATTTTAAAAAATATCATTCTGAATCAATCTTGCCATAGAACAATGAATTCTTTACAATACAACTTAATTCTCAATGTCATGGTTAACATGTTCCCTAGAAAGAGCTTAAAAAAAACCTTAGCTTTTCAAAACAGATCCAAATAGCAAAACCTTTAAAATATTGCAGAAGCCTCTAGCAAAATGCACATAACACTTTTGTCAACATGTTTCACAGGTCTTTTGTTTATTACGAATATATGTATATAGTTCCTGGTAACCTTTATGTTCTTTACTGTGTCATCAACTATAGGACAAATATCCTGCATTCAGAAATGTTAAAATATGAAGAAATGTGCACTTTGGAATCCACAAATTATGGTACAATTTCTAAAGATGGACACTTCACTCACTGAATACTTACCTCTTCATAGTATATGCAGTCAGCCATCAGTATGTAGTCTGGCGGAGAAGTAAAGTCTTCTATTTCTTCCCCCCTTAAAAATGTCAAGCAGATATTTAACTGTTGCTTTAACAATTTAAAATACTGTTTTATAAACAAGTTCTGGAAAGTTCCCTTCGTTTTAACTATGCTTTTAGTGAAACGCAATTTAAAGCAAACTACAAATCGTTATCTTAAAACAAGCTGAAAGGCCATACAAACCATTTCAGTACCTTGGCTTGAACAGAACCAGTGACAAGATGCTTGTTCATATTAATATTAATCTTCAGCAAGTCTTGCAATTCCTCAAGATCTGTGACCACAACATCAGCCCTATAAAATAACGTCGATCGAAGTGTAGGCACAAACATGCTAAACCACTAATCCGGGTTTCCCGAACAAAGCGGCACCCCCTCCTGCCAGCTCTTACCCAAGGGTAGCAGCCATGAGCCCCACGGCCCCAGTGCCAGAGCCCAGCTCCAGCACCGATCGCCGGCTCAGAGCGTGGGCCCCATCGCCGGAAAACCCGGGCGTTTCCAAGTACTTAGAAAGGACAATGGCAGCGTCCCAAACAACGCAGCCCACGCCGCCGGAGCCATTCTGCTGCAGTCGTAACACCGTGCCATCTCGCTTTTCCAAAACTCGAACGAAGTTCCGCAGGGGGTCGTCCACCGAGGACTCCAGGGTAGCCGCCATCGCTGCCCGGCAACAAGTTGCGGCGCGCGCAGTGACGTCACACCCACACGCACCGCCCCAAGGCCGGCCTGAAGAGGGCCCGGCGCCTCCTAGTGGCGAAGTTGGCGCCAAAGCGCGTGCGCAGAGGCACAAAGCTGGGAAGGCCGCATTACCGGCGAGTGGTCGAGCACCGGGCCACACGCTTCCCAGGCGTGTAGGTTGGCCTCCTCTAAATTACAAGCCTGGCTTAACAAGCAGGCAGCTTAAATCACTCTTCCAGACAATGCTAATATTGTCACCTGCTCTTTACCTGGGGTGTTTTTACCTGGAGAATAATTCACTCGGTAGTTGCCTTAAATCCAGGCAGTTTCCAAGATCTTACCAAGAAGGGTATAATCCTCTTTATCAAGAGTTTCCTAGCATGCTCCTAATTTTTCATCTGAATGCATAAAAATGGTTGCTGGAAGTTTGCTGATTGCGTTTTAACAGTTAAGACAAAGTTATCCTTCTAAAATTTACATCACTTAAATTCCTTGGGATTATGTAAGTTGCACAAAATATTGAAAATAATGTGGGTGTATGTATTTCCACAGAACTCAACAATCTCTCCCTTTGTTCCTTATAATGAAAACACGTATTTAAAAGTCTTTTAAAAATTAAGACTGGGGTGATTTATTAATCTTGTTAAGAACTCTGATACAAAGCACAGTAAAAGGCCACAGACCAGTAAATAAACAACGTGGCTTTTGGCTACTTTACAACTGCTGCTACAGCACTATCAGCAAAACACGCTTTTTCATCACTTTGAACCCAGGAGTCCAAATGGCAAATAAAACTTTTACTCACTTCTCTGAATAAAAAGTTTAATAAAGTTTTAAGTATGTTTGCTGGTTTAGATGTTACCAATCTAAAAAAAATTTTTTTTTAATTTTAGTTAACATGAGATTTATAGAGAAAGTTACTATGTTTTGAGGGCAAGGCAGCTGGTTCCTGTGCCATAAGAAATTTTCCTCTGAATTTCTCAATTAGTAAAGTAGCAGATTGTATTATAGGCCTCGAGTCACTTAAATTTACATAGGTTATTAGCATTATCTTTAAATATACAATATAAACAAAACTGTACATACATGGCATATTAATTAACTTTGTTTTCCAAAACAATAGGCAACTCATTAGCTAAAGACACCATAGTCTGCAAAAACAAAAGGCACATCTGAATGAGATACATGCCCTTTTTCCCTCTATGATTGGGTTAGGTAGTCTCTGTATACATTTTGACAAAATAATAAACACAGTGCATTCTATTATTTTCATTCTGTTTTTCATTTTTGTCTTCAGCAGCAAATTCTGGCATTTAAGACATGGCATTAAAGAGTTTAAGAACAGTGGGTGTTTTTCACAATTCTCTTAAGTGTAAAAACTAGAAGTAAAAACTAGAAGATGGTCAGAGTTTTAAAAATCAGTAATACCATACACCCCCTATATTTGTGTAAATTCATTGCCTTAAAAAGGCATCTATTACCCAAATTTGAAAAATTCCACAAATGCACTATCCCCTTTCAGTGCAATCAATGTCACTTTAAACCATACTTTAGCAGAGTCTACAGTGCAAATATAAATTCTTTATACTGGCCTTTTGGCAGCACTGAGGATCCAAGACAAGGCAATGCTACTGATCACCTGAGGATAATGATAAAGGACTTCTGTATTTTTTTTTCCCAATTTTTAAAAGCTTATTTGATCAGTAGCATTTTTGTAAGAGCATTATTTGTAAAAAGTACTAAAATACTATGCCTTTTTTTGAATAAATTAAAAAAAAAAAACCCTTTACAAATATCATTCCAGTGTCATGACTACATATGGCTAAGGTCATTGAGGAGTTTCCGCATTTTCTAGCAAAGGCAGTCTGTATGATGGAGGGTGCGAAAGCTCCCGTTTGTAAGTCTTTGGTGGCAGTTTTGGTAGGTGAGGGCTTGAATTCTGCCTTGGTGGAACGGGGGGAGCTTGAGGATGAGCAAGGTTGTTGTGACTAGAACTGAGCACATAGCATCGACGTGGTACTCTCGGAGAGGGTGTGCTAGGAGGAGTATTTGGCGAATTTGGACAGGTACTAACGTCTCTGAACCAGTCTGGATCTCTGTGAAGATGTCCTAGTGGAGGTGGCTGAAGATTAAATGGACAGTTTATAAAGTGTTCTGGAGGCCGAAGGGGAACTGGTGGAGGGGTATCAGGAAGAGGATCTCTTGGCGGTGGTGGAGGTGGGCTATGCAGAGGCCCATCAAATGCACCAGCAGGAGCAGGAACTCTGGGTTTTACCTTTGGAGGAGGAGGTTGTCTTGGTGGAATAGCAGGGGGGTCATCATCAGATTTCGTATTTCCCTCAAAAAAATAAATAAATAAATAAATAAATTATACCTCCATTCTCCTGAAAAATCTGTTAAGCTTTAAAAAGACTGAAAAATTCTTATGTGTTCAGTTAAATCCAGAAGCTCAAAATAGGTTAATCTGATTTAATGATCAGATTCATAAGTAAAATACTCCCAGTTTAATTTAGGGCCTAGTTTAATATTTTTATATATGAGATGTTTTAATTGAAATCTTAGAACATAGAGCCTCACCTTTCAAAAATTTATGAATTTTAATTATAATAGGCAAGTGAGTGAAAGGAATACATAGCTTTGTAGATGTTAAAGGACATGATGTCAAGGGAACTCGAAGTCCAGCTTCTGCCTTCTGGTCATCTACTTCTACTTTCCCCAGTAAGGCTTACTGTGGTGGTTCTCAAAGTGTGATCCAGGGACCAGCAGCATCAGTACCAGTAGGGAACTTGTTAAAAAATGCAAATTCCTGGGTCCCACTCTAGACCTACTGAATCAGAAACTCCACAATTTGCTTTTGACAAGCCTCCCAGGTGATTCTGATGCAGCCTGAAGTTTGAGAATTACTGGGCTTAAATTTGAAGAATGCTTTGAATACTAAAGTTCTTTCCCTTTCTACCAGAAAGAAAACATACTTCTGAGTATCTGTGAATCTGCCCAGCCTCTTTTTAGAAAAAAATATTAATAATTAAGCGATTATTTAAAGTATTTTTCAGATAAAACAACCAGAGTATTTACATACCATACAGGGTAGCCAAATTATAATTGACAGACTTTTTATAAGAACAAGAATTATTTTGAAGGTTCACAACCTTGAATAAATTGAATAAGCTAAGGCAAACCTGAGTCCTGTTGACTACCTTGGAATTTGAAGCATCATGATCAAACTTCTTTCGAGGAGGAAGAGGAGGAGGAATCAGCAGCTGCTCTTCACTTAGTTTATGTAAACTGCCACATGAACTGAAGAAAGACTCTGGGGGTAAGAAAGATTAGTTTCACTACAATTCACAGTGCAATCATAAGACAAGACTTTATCTCAATCTGTGATCACCTCTGCTATAGTAAATGTCAAACTGTACTGTACTCAACTGTTGGTTGACCTATACTCTGCACTAAACCGTAAGCTTCTTGAGGGCAGGGTGTATTCATTTCTGTATCCCTAAGCACTAGCACAGTAGTAGTGCTTGGCATCTGGGAGATACTACAGCTACATGAAAACATACAATCTAAGTAAGATTAATAATGAGATTCTGCTCCCTGAAAAACCTTTTTAAATCTAAAACACACAAAACATATTTGTATAAACTGTGGTAACTTCCAGAGAAAGATCATACATAATCAGAGACCCTGTGTTTTTGAAGCAGTGAGTATCAGATACATTTCTACAAAGATAATAAAACCTCCAAATAGGAGACCAAAAGGTAGGGTTGTATCAAATAATCCTTTCTCTTTGCAAATTTCTCAGTGATAAAGGACATGTTATATAACCACATTAAAGAGAATTTACAAAATAATAAAGCATTCAGGGGAAAATTCTATGCCAAAGACATAGAATAAGAACTATTTCATTTATTTTTTTTTCATATGATAAAAAAAATACCTGTAGTTATGGACCAACTCTGTTTGTTGACCACGACTTGTTATAAAAGCAGTGACCATGTCTTGTTGATCATTATATTAAGATTGGGTTCACAGGAACTGGTTGGGAAAGTTGATGAGTTTAATTTTAAACACACTGAGTGTGAACTCCTTATGTGATATCCAATTAAAGATGGCAATCTCATTACTCCATGTAAAAAACTGCTGTCCTGATCTTGTGACTCTGCAGTCACCTCATGGGTCCTGTTGGCTCAGGGTGTCAAAAGTAGAAAAAGTATGCCTATGGGGTGTTGGCAGATGGTGTGGGAGGTTAGGCAGAGCACTATCTGCTGTAGATATATTCCTTTTGCCTGACCAGCATCTTATGCCCTGTCTTTGGGAGCAAACTATTCTTGGTGATAGTGAATCTATCCCATGTGGTTTAGTTGGCCAGTGTGGCCCAGTGCACCCCAACTCCAATCAGAGAAATACCAAGTGTTGGTGAGGGTGTGGAGAGAAGGGAACCCTCATGCACTATTGGTGGGAATGTAAATTGGTGCACCCGCTGTAGAAAACAATAGGAAGTCTCCTCAAAAAAGAAAAAAATAGAAATACCATATGATCTTGTAATTTCACTACTATTTACCCAAAGGAAAGTAAAACACTAATTTAAAAAGATATATGCACCCCTATGTTCACTGCAGCATTATTTACAATAGTCGAGAGATGGAAGCAACCAAGTGTTCACCAACAGATGAATGGATAAAGAAGATAATATGGTGCTTGCATGCGCGCGCACGCACACACAGGAATACTGCTCAGCCACAAAAAAGAATGAAATCTTGTCATTTGCAGCAATATGGATGGACCTAGAAGGTATTAGGCTAAGTGGTATAAGTCAGACAAAGAAAGACAAATACCATATGATTTCACTTATATGTGAATTCTGAAGAACAAAACAAAACAAAAAGAAACAGACTCATAAATACAGAGAACAAACTGGTGGCTGCCAGAGCGGAGGAGGATAAGGGGATGGGTGAAATAGGTGAAGGGGATTAAGAGGCACAAACTTCTAGTTATAAAATAAGTCAGAGAAATAAAAAGTA